TTGTGAATTCTGTAAGCACTCACTTTGGACACATACTCCGTATTGAACCACGACAAGTGACTTTAGTTTGCCTCCATTGCCAATTTTTCAGTAGAAACGCATAACAATCTAGAGCTCACAAAGGAAATTGCTCAAGCTATGCTTAAAGAATGGCTTTGCAGTTCTGTGCAAAAATCAAGCTAATGGGGTCATTCTCTGTTAATGAGGAAGATGCGGATGTGATGTGCACAAGCAGGACAATCACATACGTTCACCGAAGGATCCAGATTTTGGGCGTAAGTAGAATACAAGAGCGGTCTTTTCTTACGTGTATGTACTTATTTTAAATTTTGAACAGTAGACCATGACGCATAACATCGTGTGTAATCCTGCTCCGTCGGTTCCGTTCTCGCACTGACTTGCATGTCCCGGCTAAACAGGTGCGGCTGAAATCGTGATCGGCAGCAATTACTCCTTAAGAGACAATGTCTTTCAATCTTGCTAGGGATACCAGGCTTCAAAAATCTAATCTTTTCTTGGATTGACGTTCATTTTGCCTCTGCCTTTTTTGTTGTGCATGAGATGGTTTTGGCGGAATCGCTCACATTCTGTCCGACTACGACGTTTTTTTTCGGCTCGTACTGGTAAAATTTTCCTGGCTACTGGTTCTTATATCGATTTGAATCAGTTCCTATAGCTTTGCTAATCATCTAGTCCACTACATGTTTCATTTTTTGATTGGTCTTTGTTAGGCTTGTAAGCTATCCACTAGATTTTTAGGCGACTTGCTTAATTTTTTGGATCCAGCATTTAATAGATTCCTCTTTTGAATAGGTTCGAATACGTATCTTTCTAAGATTTCTCTATTTGTAAACGTTTAAAGCCTGCTACATGTTTCATTTTTTGATTGGTCTTTGTTAGGCTTGTAAGCTATCCACTAGATTTTAGGCGACTTGCTTAATTTTTTGGATCCAGCATATAATAGATTCCCCTTTTGAATAGGTTCGAATACGTAATGGGCAATAGTGCCGCGTGATTGCTGAAGTCGTTTGTCTTGTAAACCAAGACCAAGGATTGCGGGCTTGTTTATTTACATAGAAATATGTCTCATTAAGTTTGTAAAGACTTAAATACCACTTAAAGGTGATAACCGTTCACGTTATATGGACTACGAGGCTCTATAAGTCTTACAAGTTTTCCTGAGGCGGAGGTGAAGTGCGGGTTCCATACACCTGGATTATTTGAAGCCGCCTATCTAGCAGTGAAATTTGCGAGGACATGAGTTATAACGCCAACTTATCTATCTTAATGAAGTGAAGCTGCCACAAAAATTGCGACAGGGACGACCGATCATACGTAGACAGTGTTGTCAAAGGCCTATGCTTTTGGGTACAAATGCAAAATGTATATATTTATGTCCTTAGTCCTCAATCTCTTTTGCTACTCTAATGCTACTGGACACTTTGACAATACATTTATAATCGCTATATCGCGCATATTTACTGTATATTCGCGCATTAATAATTACCACATCGCGCATTAGTAATCAACCCCTTTACTATTCATTCGGTGCCACGTGGCACTGAATGAATTGTGCTACATCGCACATTAGAAATCGTCGCTTGGTTGCCGAGGCTTTTATCTTCCAACATTCCCAGTCCACTCGTCAACGACATCGAATTTAATGCCGAGATTTTTGGTTCAGTGAGAGATAAACCGCGGCGCTGCATTTGTCTGGTCATGATATCGGCGAGTGTATTCTGTTTCAGTCAGTACTGTAGCGCCACTTAATATATTCTTGACCTTCTCACATACGTAGTGGTAGAGGATGTCGATGTGCTTGGCGCGCTTGTAAAAATCTGTGTTCTTGGTCAAAGCAATAGCACCTAGGTGTATTAAAATACAGTTCGCACGTCACTGCCTACATCTTCGCCGAGCTCACACTCAAACGTCTTAGGTCACGTCACCTTTTGGATAGCTTCCGAAAGTACTATGTACTCTGTTTTATTCGACGAGAGTGCCATGATGCACTGCTTCTAGCTGCACCAGCTGACACAGCCGTTGTTAAGCACAAATACGTACCCGCTCGTACTGCGTTCGATCTTGATCTCGCCAGCCTAGTCTGCATACGAAAATCCAAATGATTTGCTATAAACAGCGCCGGTGAATCGAATACCGAGTATTGGAGCATATTTGAGGTACCTAAGTACGCGCTAAAGTGCTTGCCAGTCTGTTGGACGCGATTCAGCAAAAACTGGCTGAGCACTCACACTGTAGCTGATAGGTCTGGACGCGTGATGACCATCAGGTGCATCAAGGCTCTGACATCACTTCGGCACAGCACCCCTTGCATCGTGTCGCTAGCTTGCATAATTTTTGCACGTGTTCTTTGTCAACTTACGTTGGGGGTCTTGCGATGTCTCAACAGGCTTGGAGTCTTGCATGCACAACTTGGTCAGGACCAAAGCGCAGGAACCTTTTTGTTTCATCGACAAACCTCCAGACTCGTCATATCGATCGACATCCATACCGAGCCAGTACCTGAGCTCAACGGTATCACACTTCTCGATTCGTTCGCTCAATACGCGCTTGGTGGGTGCGAAAAAATCCTTGTCGTTGCACGGAAAGATGAGACCATCAACAAGGAGAATAACAAACTTCACGAACTTGTTGTCACGCTAAACTTTGACGCAGTGGTCCATATCGCAATGGGTGAAGCCTATCTTGTGCATGAACTCGTCGAATGTTCGACTTCAAATGCGCGGATTTGAGTCTGTCCAACGAACGCTTAAGCTTGAACACGTGGTAAGGATAAATGACATGAACGAATCCATAGGGTTGCTACGCGTAAATTCCTTCTTCAAGCAGATCTCTAATACATACCGTCTTGACATCCATCGGGTACAGCACATGGTATTATTGTGCGCGATGCCTCAAATGACTTGGATGGATGCAAACTTGGCGACCAAACCAACCGTCTCCTGGAAGTCCACATCACAAATTTGTAAATTTCCTTTTTCACAATTCGGGCACTGTACTGTTCAATGGGACCCTCAACAGGATCCTTAAATTTGAATACTTACTTGCTGCGGATCGCCTTGCAACCAATAGAATTTAGCACAAGTCCTCACGTCCTATTCTTTCAAAACAATTGAAAATACATATTGAACGCTTCTCGCCGCTTGCTTAAGTCTTTGGATATAGTTGCCAATTTAAAGTCATTGTCACTTCTCTAACTGAATCCACGGCGTGACACTAATTGTGGCCGCTCATGGATCGAATTTGGTTCGTGTGCTCGCTCGTCCATATCTTCACTGTCGGTTTCGTTGTGGTGGACGTTGTAATTTTCATCCCCATTCGCTTTATCAGTGGTTATATACTCGAAAGTGTTGAGGTCGATTGTCTTTGCGTACCTTCCGCTGTCAAATAAGTCTTCTATGAACTAGGCATTGTGACTCACTAGTATGCGACTGATTTATAGATCTTTATATAAGGACGCTTTTTCGTGGATCTAGTAGTCCAAGAAGCGACACAACGTCCATCGCGCACCGAATTTCGACCATTTTTTTGGTACGTGCATGTATGCATAGCAACCAAATATAAGTAGGATCTTTAGCAGCGGTTTTTCATGTGTCCGCACCTCACGTGGTTTTTTTTTTCATGGCCAGTCGCTCGTGTCGGTCGTCGATTGCGCAAGGACGCTGCCGTTGATGCTACCTCACCCTGGTAGCTTTTGGATAGTCCTGTGGCATCGATCATGCATCGAGTCTTCTCAATCAGTGTCCTGCTCGTTCTTTAGACCACTCCATTGCGTTGAAAAAAGTATAGTAGCATGAGCTAAAAATGCTCTGTGATGCCGCGGATGTGACAGAACGCAGCGAGACTTATGAAAACGTACTCACCATCGTTTTCAATGCGAATCACCTTAGTGCAGTGACCAGTCTGAACTCGGGCAAAATTTGCAAAAGGCATAAACTTGTGTATTACTTCGGATTTGCTTGGAAGCAGATAGGCCTCGCAAATTCGCGACTTGTAGTCAACGAACACCACAGAGTACCGTTTGCTGGAAAAAGGTAGAGTCTGCATCCTTACACACTTATCGGAGTGCACGACGTCAATAAGTTTATTGGACGGCTGGCTGCATGCGCCTGCAATTTTACCCACGTCTTCTTTTCGAGAGCACATCTACTAGAAAGGTCCCACTTTATCACTTGTGCAACATATTTGCTGATCCTGGCCCACGCTTTACGATGCGCTGAGCCCATCATAGCAAAGATGGCCAGGACGTAGCTGCCACAGGTACGACTTGATCATCCGTTTATTCTTGTATTCACTTGCAACGCACGCTCTCACCTTTTGCACAGGTGTCATGCATATCTAGAGGAGACCTGTGCCAGCACGCTCGCCACCCTCCACTTCTGTCCCTCAAATCCTTATTACAAGCTATTATGTCCAACGCCACTGACGCGACATATCGTGAATCTTCTGGTCTAAAACATATCACGCGTTAGCTTCATATGTGCCACAGGTTCGTAATCACACCTTTCTTGGCTAAACTTAGGTTTTTTACCATCAGCGCTATGATACAGCTCCCATTTGCTTTTGCAACTCAGTCGTATATGGTATGAACTCTAATCGGATCGATGGTCTTGTCATTCGTCACGAGCCGATTCGAAAACGAAATTTACTGCGTTCCACCAGAGTCAATGAGCCATGCCGGATTCTTGAAGCTGTTTTTCTCTCCTTTCCGACGTCAAACAGAAAAATTATTTGAGCTGTCATCTTGGCTATGCGCCACATTTGCACGCTGGGTACGCTTCCGGTTCGCTTTGTCCTGTTTGCGAGAAAAATTTCGCTGTATACTTTGCCGCAGTGATTGCACACGCCAATCTTATTGAATGGCTTTCCACAGCACCTTTTACCAATCATGAACGCTTGGCTTGCATTAACCCTTCACTGCCTTGCTCCATTCGATTAACGTCTTTATGTAGTGGCCGAGACGCCAAGAGTTGTCGGGACATCTAGTCCATACGTGGGTTCAATGCCATGCTCAATAACTGGTACGACTCTCTTAGGCTACCAATAAGCATGATCATCAAGTCTTTCTTGCTGACCAGAGCGCCGACCGCATCGAGCTGATCCGCCAGAGTCTTGATCTTTTTGATGTACCCCAGCACACCATCAACTTTATCTAGCATCGTCGTGAAGAAGTGCCGACAGAGAAAAAGCTCGTTCGCCAGATATCTTCTTCTCGCAGTGCCCTTCTAGTCGTGCCCATAAATTGTGCGCCCCAATCGCCGACAAACCGTCGGCAGATGCCAATCGTACATTTCGAGACAGGTGATCTTCAGTGCCTTGCACGACTTGCGAATGAAAGCTGACTGGTCCCGCGCAGTATTCAGATGTTCCAGATAGATCCCTACTCTTGTCATTTCCCAGAGGTCATCCTTCAGCACAATCTTCATTTTGAACTTTTAAGTTAGAAAATTTGTCCGATCAGACTTGTTTATGCGAGAACTGGTGGCGAAGGAAGCGTCAATATTAGAGGCGGAGGCGGCTTCAGGGCAGAGTCAGCGGAGCTTGGGCCGGTCAACTGTTTACAGAGGCTTGTGTGGTACAATGCATATGGAAAGTGGATACATTTAGGTTCCCAGTTTGCAATGTATATTTTTGCATTTATCCTGCCGGATACTTCGACTACACATTCCTGATCGCCTCATCGCGCATTTTGATCACCACGACGCGCATTATAATGCAACATTGCACTTTTTAATCGCCACGTCGCGTATTTTTAATCGTCGCTTTGCTGCCGAGGTGCCTTTTCTATAACACACCGGAAGCACGGGCGCTGATTCTGCGGCTTACACGGGATAGTCCGATGTCCATCAGCAGTGAGAAGGCACGTGTTAAAATTTCACTAGGGCACTAGCGTTGCTGAATAAGGATATAATTTTGGGACTTGATAAATCATACCCCTTTTCTAAGATCCACACATTTAAACCTGATGTTCAAGTCCTTCCTGCCAAACTTAACCTTCGCACCATTTTGTTAACTAGGTCATACACTCCTTATCTTCTTACACTTTCTCTAGGTAAAACAATTATAAGAATTTTATATATTACATCGTATCATTTCACACTCTTCTCCGACAAAATTTTCGCTTGACAGGAGTGCTATTTCAAGGGTCATGTGAGATTGATTATACAACTGTAGCTTTTATCAGATAATAGAAATACTCAGTGGTGTATGTGCACCCATTTGCTCTAGTTTTGAGTGGGGTGATCATGAGTAGGTAAAACGACGTCATCATCGAGGTCATCGCTATGCAGTCTACTATACATACGTACGCTCATATACAATCATTTTATATTCTGTACTTTGAGTTTAATACTCATAGAAAATAATTTAACGGTAACTGCTATCACATTTCCTTCGTCCCCCTAAGATGTCGGTCAGTTCATCCTCCGCGCCGCCCACAGGCCTTCTGGGATTAGATTAAAATCTATAAAAGTTATCGAAATTCCCTTTTCGGATGCACAAAGTAGCTACGAAGTCATTGCATTACCTAATTACGCCTATGTAAATTATTGGTTTAAGATTAAGCAACTCTAACTGTAGGGCTGTGGAACAAATGTACGATCAGGATCTCTTTTTACCACATATTAAACAACTAAAAATGGTGAAGGTGTGCGCATACGATCACAAAAACTCATTGCATAGATTTCAATGCTTGCGCGTTCTATTTGTGCGTGAAAGCAGATTGTAAGATGCTTCGCGTCATTAGTATGCTATGAGTCTCTCATATTCTGCACCATACTATCTTAATCGAGGAATGACCTACCAACAAATCAGCAGGATTTGCCTGCTGGAACGGAAACCAAAAAATGCTTGTTCAATAGACGCCTTAGATTATATACGACTAGATGGAATCAATGCTAAAAAGTATAAATGTTGTTAAAATTTTTTGTATGTGTGATGAGCAAGATCAATGTTTTTTATCTGAATCAGAGGATAAAAAATACTTGGGTACAAGAATCGGACACAACAGGAGTGGTGTTAAGGAAAGGAAAGGGGTGTGAATATGTTAATTAATGATTTTAATAAGTGGATATCGCGGAGAAAGTAGGAGATATCTACGTAGTCACTCCTCGATAAAATTGATTTAAACTTTATAGCAACTCTCTTTGTTTACGTAGGTACAATGAAGGCAGTTTGTATAATTTTATACTACTGATTTCATACTACTTTGTTTTAGTCTTTCAAATTGGTTTTAACATAATGTTTAACACTATAGAAATGTCACATGCTTGCGTATACACTCGATATAATACGATTTCCAATTCCTGTGGGAAAGGCCAAACTATAGTGCGCACCCATTAAGACATGATGGTTCTAAGTTTGGCCGCTGTATTTTGTACTACACGGCAGTACCTGTCAGCTTTTCATTAAATAATTGCGTCTATTAGTACTATTCGTACTAGGATAGCGAAGCGTACCTTTCCCTCGCAGCAAAGAAGTTCGCGAAAATAGAGTTAAGATGATCAACAATTACTTCTGCACTTAAATTAGTAAGTTTTTCTACTCTAGCTCAAGTAGACCTACAAAGTTCTGCCTCTCGTAGCAATCGGTGACCCCTTTTATAAATGTGGAGCCTGTTTGTTAGTCCTCGCCTTTCTACAAACCTATCTTTCTAACAACAATTATTGAAATTGTTTTCATTTGACAATCGTCGACTTGATATATACAAAAAAGTATAGTACCTAGTAATTAAGTTACGTAAATATGCGTAGGGTCTTATTGCCTACAATTACGGTTATTTAGTTCATTAGAAAAATCAAAGCGATCACATAAATTTCGTTTGGTATTCGATCGGTAAGTTGATCCTAACAGGCATCTAGTTACCGATTAAAATGCTGTCGCCTCCATTTAATGGCAACATCAAAGCAATTAGAGAAGTATAAATATTAAAACCGTTGCATGAGACGTTTTGTGCAAAGGCAAGAAAATGTCTGAGTAAGTTCATGAGTGCAGTACGCACTTAGACTCTTCATGTGGTTGGGGTACATCAGTTTCTTACCTACAACAAAAGTTTATGTCACACACACGGATGACTTCACTATTTGACGTCATTACATGATGTCATTGGAATACGTCATCATTGCGCTTATTTTTAGGCTAAGAGCGCTGTAGAGACGGCGTCTCATCAGAGCGCGCTTCTGTTCTTTTGTCTGATATCCAACAAAAATCAGGGTTTTTCATTAATTAAATAGGAACCAGTCATTTCATTCATCTCAATCAAGGTTTTTCATTAATTAGATAGGAATCAGTCATTCATCATTTCTAACATAATTGTTAAGTGCGTACCGAAAAATGAAGCCACACCTAAAACAAGATTTCGCCTATCGATGAGCAGGTGTAAGACTCTTATTGAGTCTCGCTGCACGCGAGAGAAGATGGTAGAACTGCTTTCTTGCAGGTGCCAGAAGGTGTGTGTAAAGGTAGTGCGTGGCAGCCTTAATAACCATCTACAAGATGTATACGTTGCAGAACGACGTATTCCAGTTGCCAACGACTCGTCCATTGAGGAAATACAATTGCGTAATATGCTACCTAGTGTAGGTTGTCACGTGCGTGAATTGGATTGATCGGAGGCTGCACATTTGTTGCTAATTTGATGATGAGTAGATTAGAAGGTGGCGGTTCTGTAATATGAAATTCAGTACCATAACACAGTTCGCGGCTGATCAAGTTGCGCAACGACTGCGTCACCGAACATACGTGACGAATCTGAAGCTTGAGGTATTATCAAGGATGGGAGGAACTCGATAAATGAATGTCATTTGGATCGGTTCCATACCGAACTTTAATGGGTACTCTTGATATAGTAAAGCGATAGCTGGGTGAGCATACTGTGCCAATAAATGAGCGACTACTCTTGCTTCAGGATGACTACGCGTCAGTACTTAAATTTGTTTTGATTCGTTCTTAATATAAAGCCGTTGGAACATCTCAAGATCTCAAGATTGGTAACCGTTGTTCAAATTAGAAGACATGGGCCAAGGATTATCTCAAGATCTCAAGATTGAATAATTGAATTATATGACACGGGCCAAGGCGGATATCAGAACGGGACGAGTTGACGAAGGGACGAGTCAACAATCGAAGGTGGCGGTTCGCAGGTTAGCTGCAACCGCGTGCATGAAAAGCTCAGTCGAAAAATCGCGAGCACACTGAGAGAGCTAAGCTAGGAAATATGTATCCTCGTAAGTCAAGGATTATATTTCTAGTGTTATCCTTTAGTCAATCGCACAGTGCTAGCTAGAATTGTGACGCAACACGGAGATTGCTACAATGTGGTCAAACTAAATGCATTTCAAATATAGAACTCATGGAAAGGTAATATGCGCTTGAGGACCTAATCTTACAAATTTGAATTTGATGCGTGTGATGAATTTAAAATATAGGATTGCTAGACGAAATGTGGATTAAATATGAAAAAAAGGATCGTCAGTGAAGCACATGGTATTGGTGGCCGTGGTATAGAAGGTAAAGCTTATGTAATAGAAACGTGTTACAGATTTACATTTTTACAGATGTGTTTGCACTTATAAGATCAAGTGGCCAGTGCGATTGTCGCGTGTATAAGAAATACTAGCTTCAATGATACGTATTTCCCATGCAAATACTTCATACAAGTCAAAAGAATAATTAATAATAAACACTAGACTAGTAATATTGCAATGACGCGCACGTGCCAGATCACAAGATATCATTAGAGCTAAGCCGCTCGATATAAAAGGATATCTTATATACCGTGATTTGGCTGTTACTTCTGCTTTAACTAAACTATCTCGATAAAAAGGCACGAAAGCGGAAATTTGATCATTGTCTCAGCAAATTGCTAATCTCAGGCGTTGCATTGTAAAAACCTCTGTTGTCAAGACGTGCACTTGTATGCCTCAATCTACCAAAAATTTTGATCTTTATCAGCTTCAAAATAACACAGTGTAGCCCTCTTGTTGTGCTTGGGTGTATATTGCGGTGACTGTTAGATGTAACAAAAAGTTGGCGGTTCTACAAGACTTGACGTTCAGATGATGAAAAAGTTGTATTTGATCATATCAATAAGAGAAATAGTAATATCGTTGACTGTGTACTGTCAAAATTATTGCATTCGGTACCAAATCATTTTTCATTT